CAGTGCACACTTATGCCCAATGTCCACCAGATGCATATGTGTTTTTCCGGATGTCTAGCCTGCATTTTCCGTACTTGACCCACGTGCTTCGCTTTTCAACTCGTTAAAAAGCTAGCTAGTTGGAGTCTGTGTGTGTACTTCCGTTTGTACCACCGCACGGTAAAGCAAAGCATGAGTTGAAAATATTGAACGCTTGCCATACACAGAACGCACAGCAGCCTAGTGCAGCACCCCCAACATAGCGTTACGGACTGCTCCATTGAAATTGAATGACTTCCGCCGGAACGCAAACAGTTAATGCATCTGGTGGACATGAGGCGCTACACAGGTTCATCTGCCTCACCTAAAGCCTGCTATAGACCATCAAGTGCTAACAGTCAGTATCTGGATTACGTGTGAAATGCTTGATAATGTATGTGATATCAATAGAGAGGTATACTTTCTGGGTGATTTAAATATTGACTGGCTTTCATCAGGCTGCCCATTCAAGAGAAAGCTTCAAACTGTAACTAGCGCCTGCAACCTGGTTCAGGTTATCAATCAACCTACCAGGGTAGTTACAAACAGTACAGGAATGAAATATCTTTACTAATGCTGCAGAAATTTGTTTGAAAGCTGTATCCAAATCCATTGGATGTAGTGATCACAATATAGTAGCCATATCTAGGAAAACCAAAGTTCCAAAGGCTGGGCCTAATATTGTGTATAAAAGGTCATACAATACATTTTGTAGTGATTTCTATGTTGATGATGTGAAGAATATTTGTTGGTCCGTGGTGTGTAATGACGAGCAACCAGACGCTGTACAACCGATTGGCAAATGTACTGCAAATTGAGAAATCATGTGACTAAACTGAATAAAAAGAAGAAACAACTACACTATGAAACAAAGTTAAATGACATAAATAATGATAGTAAAAAGCTTTGGAGCACCTTAAATGAAATTTTGGGCAAAAAGGCAAACATTCATTGAATCAGATGGCTCATTCATCACAAAACCCACTGATATTGCTAACTACTTTAAAGATTTTTTCATTGGCAAGATTAGCAAATTTAGGCATGACATGCCAGCAACAAACACTGACAGTACACATCCAAGTATATCTGACCAAATTATGAAAGACAATAATTGTAATTTTGAATTCCTTAAAGTAAGTGTGGAAGAGGTGAAAAAAATGATTGTTTATTAACAATGACAAACCACCAGGGTCTGACAACGTGGATGGAAAATTACTGAGGATAATAGCTGACGATATTGCCACTCCTATTTGCCATATCTTCAATTTAAGCCTACTAGAAAGTGCGTGCCCTCAGGCCTGGAGGGAGGCAAAAGTTATTCCCCTACCTAAGAATAGTAAAGCCCCCTTAACTGGCTCAAATAGCCGACCAATCAGCCTGTTACCAACCCTTAGTAAACTTTTGGGGAAAAATGGGGTTTGACCAGATACAATGCTATTTTACAGTAAACAAATTGACAACAGACTTTCAGCACGCTTATAGGGAAGGACATTCAACAAGCACAGCACTTACACAAATGACTGATGAGGAATTGATGATAAAAAGATTGTGGGGGCTGTTTTGTTAGACTTCAGTGCAGCTTTTGACATTATCGATTATAGTCTGTTGCTGGAAAAACATGTTATGGCTTTACACCCCCTGCTATATTGTGGATAAAGAGTTACTTGTCTAACAGAACACAGAGGGTGTTCTTTAACGGAAGCCTCTCCAACAAAATCCAGGTAGAATCAGGAATTCCCCAGGGCAGCTGTCTAGGCCCCTTACTTTTTTCAATCTTTACTAACGACATGCCACTGCTTTGAGTAAAGCCAGTGTGTCTATGTATGCGGACGACTCAACACTATACACGTCAGCTACCACAGTGACTGAAATGACAGCAACACTTAACAAAGAGCTGCATTTAGTTTCAGAATGGGTGTCAAGGAATACATTAGTCCTAAATATTTCAATAACTAAAAGCATTGTATTTGGGACAAATCATTCACTAAACCTCAACTAAATATTGTAATGAATAATGTGGAAATTGAGCAAGTTGAGGAGACTAAACTGCTTGGAGTAACCCTGGATTGTAAACTATCATGGTCAAAACATATTGATACAACAGTAGCTAGGATGGGGAGAAGTCTGTCTATAATAAAGCGCTGCTTTGCATTCTTAACAGCACTATCAACAAGGCAGGTCCTACAGGCCCTAGTTTTGTCGCACCTGGACTACTGTTTAGTCATGTGGTCAGTGTGCCACAAAGAGGGACTTAGGAAAATTGCAATTGGCTCAGAACAGCACGGCTGGCCCTTGGATGTACACAGAGAGCTAACATTAATAATATGCAAGTCAATATCTCCTGGCTCAAAGTGGAGGAGAGATTGACTTAAATCACTACTTGTATTTGTGAGAGGTATTGACATGTTCAATGGACACCCATGCATACCCCACAAGACATGCCACCAGGTCTCTTCACAGTCCCCAAGTCCAGAACAGACTATGGGAGGCACACAGTACTACACAGAGCCATGACTACATGGAACTCTATTCGACATCAAGTAACTCATGCCAGCAGTAAAATTAGATATAAAAAAAGATAAAAATACACCTTATGGACAGCGGGGACTGTGAAGCAACACAAAGACACGCATACAAACACACAATAACATATGCACTATACACACATGTACACATGGATTTTGTGTTATATGTGGTAGTAGAGTAGAGGCCTGAGGGCACACAATATGTTGTGAAATCTGTTATGAATGTATTGTAACGTTTTTAAATGTGTAATTGCCTTAAATTTTGCTGGACCCCAGGAATGGGGATCCATAATAAATACAAATACACTGTTGGCGTGGGTTTGAATCCGGCCCGCTACTGCACCATTCCTAATAATACAAAATAATCACTGCTTTTTACTGGCATCATAACAACTGGTAGGTAATTACTGTACATGATTTACCAGTATTCACATTTTGGAAAACTTAAGGAACAGACATAACATCAGTTAACTCTGGTGAAATACTTGGTGTTATTAAATACCAATATTATAGGGCAGAAGAAAATACAAAAACATTTTCAGTCAAGAGCATTTAGTCAAGAGCATATTTATTTTTTTGCCATACAATATAACTTTTGTAAAACTCAAAAACAAAAAGAAACTAATGCTGTCACATTTAATTAACTAAAAGCAGACCACAATTTTCTAAAGGTATTTACACAATAATAATATATACCATTAGTATCAATCTTCATGTACAATATCATTTATATAGAAAATGAGGTAGGGTCAACTGCTTCTTGCCCAATTAATAAGAACACTCCAAAATTATTTTTGCTTCAAATAATATAATATGGGGCTGAAAAGGGCTCAAAGATCTAAACCACAGCATGGTCTTAATTAACCTGGGTCTCCACCAGACAGAAGAGCAGTATTGGACAGCACCAGTCAAGCAGACCAGCATCTACATCACAGAGAATTAAAGGCATCCGAAGCAAATCAACTCACAAAAGAAAGTACCTAATTTCACGCTGATGTTGTACAGAGAATGTGGATTAAAATGAAAAGAAATAGAAAACCCCAAATGACTGATTCGAATGGCAATGGTTCCTAAGGCAAGAGAACAAAAGTATGAGGTCAGAGACAAGTCTGGAGCCCATACATTTCAATAGTCTTTGATGTTGTCTCAGGAATCTTATGGTCAACATAAATAGCCCACTGTTATATCAATCAATCAGAACAAAAAACCCAATCAAGTTTCTCTTACATAATCCCAATTTGAGACTCACGTGCATAACTAGATTTGCATGTATATAACACATGCACACCAGTCCTAGTGACATCAACACACAAAGGCCTGAGTTAAAAATGCAGATGTCAAGTTAGGATTCTGCCCCAAGTGCAGCATTGCTATCATAGCTAAAAAATGTCAAGAAGAATCAGTTAAAGAACTAAAAAAATTCTGCTTAACATGGGAGACTAAAAACAAGGATCAGTCAATTCTAAAACCAACTCTACCTCTACTAAAATATAACAGTAATATCAGCTCTTCAAAGCCTGCTAAAGAGCTTAATCAAATAACGAGGTGGATCCCCCCAAAAAGGGTAAAAAACAACCAAAAAAGCATACAGCTCCTGGGGAAAATACTTCAGCAAAAAAAAAATCCTGAAATAGTCATCCTCTTAAATAACCAGCCAATACTTATGCCCAGTCTAGACTGGAGGACCTGATCATATGATGTATTGGGAGTGGGACAGCAGATGCATTTGGACATTGAGATGGCTAAATGCAAATGAGGACACACTTTCAATTAGTGCAATTTTGTCAGACTAACTCCAGAAAATTTGGTAGGATAAATGGATTAATCTGATGAAATGGGCAAATAAACGAAATAAGTTCACCAAAAACAGAAACAGGCCAAGAGGCAATCAAGATAGTACATCTCATAGTTCAGGGTGTATGGTATTCATCTGAACAACCTGTCCGGTTGTCAGAAACACAATATATTTTAGAAAAATAAAATTATAGTATAATTTAGTGCATTATAGTTTAGCCTGAAGCAATGGAATCTAACAATTAAGCATCCTTCCACTCTACATCATATCATATGCTGCCTGACAACACAAATAGTGATATATATTATGTGCTCTTCAGACAAAATAGAAGTACAACACAAGACAGCAGGTCAATCATTGGTCCAAAGTGAGTGTTGAACAAGGAATTGCATGCAGGTTGATGATCAGAGCACTCCATTATGTGACTCGTGTGCTAAAGATTACTGCATCCCAAATTAAAAAGTTGTGCTTATGGTGCAGCTCCAATAACACCATTCGTATGTGCCCTGACAATCAGTGCACTCCTCTAATGTAGAACTGTAGTAGGACTTCTTTTACATTTTAGTCATTTAGCAGACGCTCTTATCCAGAGCGACTAACAGTTAGTGAGTGCATATATATATTTTTTCATACTGGCCCCCCGTGGGAATCGAAACCACAACCCTGGCGTTGCAAGCGCCATGCTCTACTTACTGAGCTACACGGGACTTCTTGCAATGAGTAAACCCAGTTCATTATATGATATGCCTCCAGTTTACAGACAGTCAGTGCACTGCTTTACAGGTGGGGGTGTTGTGTTATTTAGTGCACCCTGTTCATGATGTGTTTCTGGTGCAGGTCCAGGCTCTTGGGCTCGTCCTGGTTGTGTTGGGAGGGGGCGACGTCGTCTTCTTGGAGCCGAGCATTCTTCCGGATCTCCTCCAGAGTGTACTCCTGCATGATGGAGCCATTCTCAAACACAATCACCAGCATGTCCTGAGAAAGACACACCAGAGTCAGTAAAACATGAGACTATGAAAGAGTGTGTTAGAAAATGTAGACTTGAATAACCGTTGACACAGTAATCACGCAGAGGTGAGCATGTGTGCTCTATTCCTCCCAGGTGAAACATCTTCCCCTATTTAAGGCCTCACCTCCTCTGGCTTGCCCACCCCTCGCTCTACCGTCTCAATGAAGCCATCAGAGTTTCTCCTAAGCGACAGAAGACCTCTCTTTGACCCCTTGGACGGGTCGGTCACAGGCTGCTTGTACACATCCATCTAGACAAAACACAAACACACCAGACGGAAATATGTTAAAATCACCTTTGTTCTCATCCACCTGGGAAAACAAACTCTTCTGAACACTTCAATTCTTTGATTTGTGTGGGTTGTTTATAAACACAGAAAATCGATTGTGACTGAGCCCATTGTCAAATAAAGACTGATTCCCACGTCAGGTTTCCTTTGAGCATACCACAATCACTACAAAATATGAGAGGAGGTATTCCTCATAACCCATTTAAGATTTTGCCATTTTATATTCTATCAGTGAAAGGCTAAGTGGGTAAAAATGGCTGCTTTTCATCTTCATTGAATCACTAGAAACTCCCAGCAGCACTTAGTGACTTCAGTGTTCACACCCCTTGACCTTTTCCACATTTTTGTTGTTTTACAGCCCGAATTTAAAATGGATTAAATTGTGATTTTGCATCACTGGCCTCCACACAATACCCCATAATGTCAAAGTGGAAATATGATTTTAGAAATGTTTACAAATTAATAAAAAATGAAAAGCTGAAATGTCTTTAGTCAATACATAGTTCAACCCTGTTGTTATGGCAAGCCTAAATAAGTTCAGGAGTAGAAATGTGCTTAACAAGTCACATAATAAGTTGCATGGCCTCACACAGTGTACAATAAGTGTTTAACATGATTTTTGAATGACTACCTCATCTATGTACCCCACACATACAATTATCTGTAAGGTCCCTCAGTAGAGCAGTGAATTTCAAACACAGATTCAACCACAAAGACCAGGGTAGCCTTTCTAGGCTCACGTTAACTAGCTAGATAACTTAGCTGGTTCATTGTTGCCCATGCAAGGAAGTTAGGCTAGAACACATTTTAGCTAGGTAGCCTATGACAACAAAAACTAAAAGCGTACTGTATGACAGAGGCATAGATCGTTTTGCCAACATGAAAGAGAGGATGGCGGCATTGGCGTTCAACTAGTCTACAAGTAGGTTGAGTAAAAAATATGTTTCGCGCGCACACGATATTTAGCAACATTGTTTGGACTAAATTGATTTTGGTATCTTTAAAGTTGGTTTTCAGTGTATTAAACTAAGCATATATACAGTGGGGAGAACAAGTATTTGATACACTGCCGATTTTGCAGGTTTTCCTACTTACAAAGCATGTAGAGGACTGTAATTTTTAATCATAGGTACACTTCAACTGTGAGAGACAGAATCTAAAACAAAAATCCAGAAAATCACATTGTATGATTTTTAAGTAATTAATTTGCATTTTATTGCATGACATAAGTATTTGATCACCTACCAACCAGTAAGAATTCCAGCTCTCACAGACCTGTTAGTTTTTCTTTAAGAAGCCCTCCTGTTCTCCACTCATTAACACTCAATCAAACAGACTCCAACCTCTCCACAATGGCCAAGACCAGAGAGCTGTGTAAGGACATCAGGGATACAATTGTAGACCTGCACAAGGCTGGGATGGGCTACAGGACAATAGGCAAGCAGCTTGGTGAGAAGGCAACAACTGTTGGCGCAATTATTAGAAAATGGAAGAAGTTCAAGATGACGGTCAATCACCCTCGGTCTGGGGCTCCATACAAGATCTCACCTCGTGGGGCATCAATGATCATGAGGAAGGTGAGGGATCAGCCCAGAACTACACGGCAGGACCTGGTCAATGACCTGAAGAGAGCTGGGTCCACAGTCTCAAAGAAAACCATTAGTAACACACTAAGCCGTCATGGATTAAAATCCTGCAGCGCACGCAAGGTCCCCCTGCTCAAGCCAGCGCATGTCCAGGCCCGTCTGAAGTTTGCCAATGACCATCTGGATGATCCAGAGGAGGAATGGGAGAAGGTCATGTGGTCTGATGAGACAGAAATTGATCTAAACTCCACTCGCCGTGTTTGGAGGAAGAAGAAGGATGAGTACAACCCCAAGAACACCATCCCAACCGTGAAGCATGGAGGTGGAAACATCATTCTTTGGGGATGCTTTTCTGCAAAGGGGACAGGACGACTGCTCCGTATTGAGGGGAGGATGGATGGGGCCATGTATCGCGAGATCTTGGCCAACAACCTCCTTCCCTCAGTAAGAGCATTGAAGATGGGTCGTGGCTGGGTCTTCCAGCATGACCACGACCCGAAACACACAGCCAGGGCAACTAAGGAGTGGCTCCGTAAGAAGCATCTCAAGGTCCTGGGGTGGCCTAGCCAGTCTCCAGACCTGAACCCAATAGAAAATCTTTGTAGGGAACTGAAAGTCCGTATTGCCCAGTGACAGCCCCGAAACCTGAAGGATCTGGAGAAGGTCTGTATGGAGGAGTGGGCCAAAATCCCTGCTGCAGTGTGTGCAAACCTGGTCAAGATCTACAGGAAACGTATGATCTCTGTAATTGCAAACAAAGGTTTCTGTACCAAATATTAAGTTCTGCTTTTCTGATGTATCAAATACTTATGTCATGCAAAAAAATGCAAATTAATTACTTAAAAATCATACAATGTGATTTTCTGGATTTTTGTTTTAGATTCCGTCTCTCACAGTTGAAGTGTACCTATGATAAAAATTACAGACCTCTACATGCTTTGTAAGTAGGAAAACCTGCAAAATCGGCAGTGTATCAAAAACTTGTTCTCCCCACTGTAGCCTTGTTAATTTGATGATGTTTAAATGTTTAAGTTGAAATGGTGCCGAAATAGCGGAGGCAGTGCTCCTGTTGTCTTTGTGCTGACTTGTGGTAACTCCGTGGTTCTAAATCAGTAGTTGTTTAGGAAACTTGACAATGTTGCAGGTCATATAACTGTTTGTTACATGCAATATTTGCTTTGTGGACTTCCCTGGACAGATATTGCTCACCGGTTTTGTGATGAAACACACGTATGTGTAGTTGAATTTATTTCGCCACTGTGTGACTGTTGTGTTTTTGCTGTCACGGCGTTATTGTATTTCACAGTGGCGTATGAACAAATAGGTTATAGAGCAAACAACGCAATTATCACAACATAGGTTGTAATACGGATGTTTTACTGGCTTGGCTTGCTCAGTGATTTTACCCACGCACCGCTACTGGGGAGGTTTTCCAATGCTTCGCAAAGAAGGGCACGTATTGGTAGATGGGTAAAAAAAAAACGCAGACCTTGAATATCCCTTTGAGCATGGTGAAAACTTTGGATGGTGTATCTATAGATGGGTTTGCTGGCAACATCACTAAAACGATGTGCACGCTTCCATGGGGCAGAAGTCAGCGTGTTGTTGTGATTCTGGATGGCCAGATTGCTAGCAAGAATGACAAGAAACTGCCATGTGGGGAATCGTAAGTGGCTCGTTTCACCTTGTTCTTGATACCATGTCTTGTTTTGACTGATTTCATGTCAATGCTAATATGGCAAAAATTCACTAGCTAGCTAACCAACAACTGTAATGATGTATATGTTTTTAATAAACATTGGAGACGAAATATAGCTTACACGTCAACAATCTAAGCCAACTGTCTGTTTTGCCCCATAGTTGAGCACGTGTCGGTTTTGTTGCTAAACAACCAACCCATCTATACAGCCAGTCACTACAAAGATAAAGGCGTCCTTCCTAGCTCAGGTTGTTGGAGAGGAAGGAAACCGCTCAGGGATTTCACCATGAGGCCAATGGTGACTTTAAAACAGTTACAGAGTTTAATGGCTGTGATAGGAGAAAACTGAAGATTGATCAACAACATTATAGTTACTCCACAATACTAACCTAATTGACAGAATGAAAAGAAGGAAGCCTGTACATATAAAAAATATATTCCAAAACATCCAATAAGGCACTAAAGTAAAACTGCACTAAATAAATGAACTTTATGTCCTGAATACAAAGCAATATGTTAGGGGCAAATCCAACACAAGAAATTACTGAGTACCACTCTTCATATTTTCAAGAATGGTGGTGTGGTGCCTGCATCATGTTATGGGTAAGCTTGTCATCGGCAAGGACTAAGGAGTTTTTTGAATACAAATAAATGGAATAGTGCTAAACACAGGCAAAATCCTAGAGGAAAACCTGGTTCAGTCTGCCTTCCAACAGACCTTCCAGCAGGAGAATAACCTAAAACAAGGCCAAATATACACTAGAGTTGCTTACCAAGATGACATTCCTCAGTGGCCTAGTTACAGTTTTGACTTAAATTGGCTTGAAAATGTATGGCAAGACTTGAACTTGAAAGAGCTTGAAGAATTTTTGTAATAAATGTTAAAATACAATCCCGGTGTGCAAAGCTCTACTTACCCAGAACGACTCACAGCTGTAGATGCTGCAAAAGGTGATTCTAACATGTATTGACTCAGGGGTGTAAATACTTATGTAAATGAGATACTTTTATTTCATTTTCAATAAATTTGCAAATATTTCTAAAAATGTGTTTTCACCTTGTTATTATGGGTACTGTGTGAAGATGGATGAGAAAAAACATTTAATCAATGATGAATTCAGGCTGTAACAACAAAATGTAGAATAAGTCAAGGGGTATGAATACTTTCTGAAGGCACTGTATGTAAGTAAATAAGTGAGTAACATACCCCCTTCCCATTGGTCTCCACGTAGCTGCACTTGAAGGCACAGTTGAGTGTGTCTCTGTTGAGCTTCTGAAGGAGGGCGCTCCCACAGCCAAAGAACACATTCTCAGCACTCCAGCCTTCGTCACTCAACTTCTCCAGGATCTACAGGAAGAGAAAGCAGTTAAACAATGTGGTACAGGCAATAAGGGTATATCCAGAGGGTTATAGGTATGCCAGACGGGTGTTCGTGGGTGGTGTATGTACGTTATTTTCTTACCTCATCCACTGAGTTGAGATCAATGCCGTCACCCTGGATGATACGCAGGTAAGATGGCAGCACCTTGAAGCCTTGAGAGTTCAGAGAGCAACCGAAGCACTCCTCCAAAATCTTTATCACCTAGGGAGGGAACAGGTAGTCAAGTACTGCATCCAAACTTTGAAACTTGAATCAAAGAGACAATAATAGGCAACTGAAACCCCCACACAGACAGAGTAACATTTCTAAGGGAATCAATAAGAGCTAAGTGTATAGAGCACACCAAGCCTGTAGGTCCCAAGGCTGACAACATGGAACCTGAAATCCAATCTGAACAAGAACACAAGTCTGTCTTAGAATCAATAAAACATTAAAGAACAGCCATGAGCAACTTAAAACGAACTGCTCTTTTCAGAAAACATCATTTGCAGTAGACCCCTTGTCAAGAGAAGTAGACCTTGGAAGAGCTTGGATGGAAACTGGAAATGAACCATGTACCGTGTGTGTGTGTGTATGGCCAGCCAGATCCACACCACAACCCAGACCTGTGACACTTGGAGTGAGATCATACTTGACTACGAGGGATCCCAAAAGGATGGTAGGTGTGTGCGTGTTCCCCCACCTCGATGAGGGTCTCTGCGGGGTCTCCTGAGTCGGGCCGGATGATCAGGCAGGAGTCTTCGCTCCGCTCTATCACGCGCTCCTTCAGCTTGTCCCCCCAGATGTGTCTACAAGCCTTGAAGATGTCGTAGCTGTCACTGACCACTGACACCGGCCCGGTCGGGAACTGGTCCAGCAGGCTCTCAAAGGCCTCCTTCTCCCTGCTCCGCCCCCACGAGATGATCGTACTAAAAGGAGAAGATGAGATTGGTTTTAAGGAACTGATTTTCAATAGACTTGCCCGACTGAAAACCCCTTATCCCTACACTTAGGGCTGCATGTTTGCTGTACAAGTCAAAAGCCACAAAGTAAAATTTGTGAAAGGGAATATGTGAGTGAGTGTGTATGTGTTTGTGCACTGGAGTCTTACCTATGCTCTGCTGCAGGCATAGAAAAGCCTGCCATGGGGCAGCCGTAGTATCGCTGGGCCATCAGTAGCCCTGCTACAGTGTCTGTACTGTAGAAATTCACCAGGTGGGCTGCCCCGCCTAATGCCGCAGACTGAGAAAGGAGGAGGGAGAATCATCAGTTTCAAGTCACACAGACAGAAGTGTGCAATTGAAAGAAAAAGTCTGCTCTAAAACCCCAGCCCCTTTCCAGTTACCTACGCATCATCCCTGAGAACAGCATTTTGACCAGTCTCTGTTCAATCTGGTTATAGTCACAGTGATGCGCCAGTGAGACCTACAGGCTCTGTCTGGCTCTCCTTTGAACACTAATGAAAATAGTCAGCAATAATTTGCTACAAGAAATACCCAAATTTGGGAAGGGGCATCTCAAACTATACTGAACAAAAATATAAACACCATGCAACAACTTCAATAATTTTACTGAGTTACAGTTCATATAAGGATAAAAATCGGTCAATTCAATTCAATTCATTAGGCCCTATAAAAAAAAAATCTAAAAAATTAAATCGATGGATTTCACGACTGGGCAGGGGCTCAGCCATCGGTGGGCATAGGCCCACGCACTGGGTAGCCAACCACAGCCAATCAGAATGAGTTTTTCACCACAAAAGGGCTTTATTACAGACAAATACTCCTCAGCACCCCACACCACGTGGTCTGCGGTTGTGAGGCCGGTTGGACATTCTGCCAAATTCTCTAAAAAACTACATTGGAGGCAGCTTATGGTAGGGACATGTACATTCCTGCAGTCAGCATGCCAACTGCACGCTCTGTCAAAACTTGAGACATCAGTGGTGTTGTGTGACAAAACCGCACATTTTAAAGTGGCCTTTTATTGTCCCCAGCACAAGGTGGACCTGTGTAATGATCGTGCAGTTTAACCAGTTTATTGATATGTCACACCTGTCTGGTGGATGGATTATCTTGGCAAAGGAGACATGATCACTAACAGGGATGTAAACAAATTTGTGCACAACATGAGAGAAATACGCTTTTTGTGCGTATAGAAAATTTACAGGATTTTTTATATAAACTCATGTAACCAACACTTTACATGTTTCGTTTATATTTTTGACAAAGCAAAAACAGGTTTTTAGATTTTTTTTGCAAAAATATTACATTTACATAAGTATGCAGACCCTTTACTCTGTACTTTGTTGAAGCACCTTTGGCAGCGATTACAGCATCGATTCTTCTTGGGTATGAAGCCACAAGCTTGACACACCTGTATTTGGGGAGTTTCTCCCATTCTTCTCTGCAGATCCTCTCAAGCTCTGTCAGGTTGGATGGGGAGCGTTGCTTCACAGCTATTTTCAAGGCCTCTCCAGAGATGTTCGATCGGGGTCAAGTCTGGGCCACTCAAGGACATTCAGAGACTTGTCCCGAAACCACTCCTGCGTTGTCTTGGCTGTGTGCTTAGGGTCATTGTCCTGTTGGAAGGTGAACCGTCGCCCCAGTCGGAGGTCCTGAGCGCTCTGAAGCAGGTTTTCATCAAGGATCTCTGTTCATCTTTGCCTCTATCCTGACTAGTCTCCCAGTCCCTGCCGCTGAAAAACATCCCCACAGCATGCTGCCACCACCATGCTTCACCGTAGGGATGGTGCCAGGTTTCCTCCAGACGTGACGCTTAGCATTCAGGCCAAAGAGTTTCATCTGAGTCTTTAGGTGCCTTTTGTCAAACTCCAAGCGGGCTGTCATGTGCCTTTTACTAAGGAGGGGCTTCTGTCTGGCCACTACCATAAAGGCCTGATTGGTGGAGTGCTGCAGAGATGGTTGTCTTCTGGAATGTTCTCCCATCTCCACAGAGGAACTCTAGAGCTCTGTCAGAGTGACTAATGGGTTCTTGGTCACCTCCCTGACCAAGGCCCTTCTCCCCCGATTGCACAGTTTGGCCGGGCAGCCAGCTCTAGGAAGAGTCTTCAATTTAAGAATGATTGAGGCCACTGTGTTCTTGGGGACCTTCAATGCTGCAGAAATGTTTTGGTACCCTTCCCCAGATCTGTACCTCGACACAATACTGTCTTGGAGCTCTACAGACAATTCCTTCATCCTCATGGCTTGGTTTTTGCTCTGACACGCACAGTCAACTGTGGGACCTTATATAGACAGGTGTGTGCCTTTCCAAATCATGTCCATTCAATTGAATTTACCACAGGTGGACTCCAATCAAGTTGTAGAAACATCTCAAGGATGATCAATGGAAACAGGATGCACCAGAGCTCAATTTCGAATCTCATAGCAAAGGGTCTGAATACTTATATCAAGAACCTGATTAAACAGCACGATCATTACACAGGTTCACCTTGTGCAGAGGACAATAAAAGGCCACTAAAATGTGCAGTTCTGTCTCACAACACAATGCCGCAGATGTCTCAAGTTGAGGGAGCGTGCAATTGGCATGCTGACTGCAGTGCCAGAGAATTGAATGTTGATTTATCTACCATAAGCCACTGCCAACGTCGTTTTAGAGAACTTGGCAGTAAGTCCAACCGCCCTCAACCACAGACCACGTGTATGGCGTCATGTGGGCGAGTGTTTTTCTGACGTCAATGTTGTGAACAGAGTGCCCCATGGTGGAGGTGGGGTTATCGTATGGGCAGGCATAAACTACAGACAACTAACACAATTGCGTTTTATGGATGGCAATTTGAATGCACAGAGATACCATGACGAGATCCTGAGGCCCTTTGTCGTGCCATTCATCCGCCGCCATCACCTCATGTTTCAGCATGATAATGCACGCCCCCATGTCGTAAGGATCTGTACACAATTACTGGAAGCTGAAAATGTCCCAGTTCTTCCACTCACCAGACATGTCACCCATTGATCATGTTTGGTATGCTCTGGATCGACGTGTATGACAGCGTGTTCCAGTTCCCGCCATTATCCAGCAACTTCGCACAGCCTTTGAAGAGGCGTGGGACAACATTCCACAATCAACAGCCTGATCAGCTCTATGAGGAGATGTGTCACGCTGCATGAGGAAAATGGTGGTCACCCCAGATACTGACTGGTTTTCTGATCCACGCTCTGTGGTATCTGTGACTAACAGTTCCATATCTGTATTCCCAGTCAATTGACTGATTTCCTTATATGAACTGTAATTTAGTTTTTTTTTTAAGAATGTTGCATATTACATTTATATTTTTGTTCATTATATATGCATATTTAATGCTAGACTTTGTTGCTCTTCATCAAATCTATTTTATAAAGCCTTTTATTTTTTTTACATCAGAAGTTGTAACAAAGTGCTTTATAGATACCCAGCCCAAAACTCCAAAGAGCAAGCAATGCAGAAGCACAGTGGCCAGGAAAAATTCCCAAGAAGGCAGGAACCTAGGAAGAAACCAGGCTCAGAGGTGTGACCAGTCCTCTTCTGGCTGGGCCTGCCATGGTTCTTACCTCCTGCGAGGAGACCCCTCTATAGCCAAAGTCATGCAGTTTGAAGTCCAGGCCCTCCAGACTGCCTGACGTGGCCTTCAGGTGCTTGGCCAGGATCTTCTTAAACTCCCGGGAGATGGTCGCCACACTGATGGGATACCACATCTGGACCAGCATGGTCTGTGAGAGAGAAAAAGAGAAAACACACAGAGAAAGAGATCGTCAAAACACCATTTGATTGGAGAAGTTGATTTTGTTCAGAGACTACTTCTAAAACCTTTACAAAAAGGGACATGTCTGTGCCATTGGTGCTGGAAAGGAAGTAGAAATGGGTGGGGGCTGGATATCAAAAGCTGTGGCTGGTGTTGGGCTCAGTGCCGGCAGGCTAAGCTATCCCCTGCTGAACAGAAAAAAGGCCAGAGTGACTGGGTGGAATCATCCTCATTGACCTGATTAGGGGAATTGCAATGGTCTCTGACGCCTTGACGGTGTCACCATACATACAAATCAAATTGTATTTGTTACATGCTTCGTAAACAACAGGTGGACCAAAATTGAAATGCTTACTTACAGGCCCTTCCCAACAAAACAGAGAGAAGAAAAATAACAAGGAATAAAGTTACGTTTTAATGTCACATGCACAAGTACAGTGGAATGCCTTTCTTGTAAACTCAAAACCCAACAATGCAATAATCAATAACAATGTAATACAAAAAAAAGAGAAATAAGAATAAATATGAAGAACACAAAAAGTAAGTATGCATACTATATACAGGTTCAGTTCCAATACCATATATGCAGGGATACTGGCGTGATGGAGGTAGATATGTATAGGGCAAGGTGACTAGGCATCAGGATATATGATAAACAGTGTAGCAGCAGCTGGTATGTGAGTGGGTGTGCGTGAGTGTACAGTCAGTATAAATGTATGTGCATGTTACAGTATGTGTGAGTGAGCAGATGATTGAGTGAGAATGTGTGCAGAGACAAAAAACATTTTTTTTTTTTTTAAAGGTCCATGAGGATACAAGGTTAACTCCGATAGTCTGTGTAGCTATTTATCAGTCTTATTGCTTGGGGATAGAAGCTGTTCAAGAGCCTGTTGGTGCCAGACTTGATGCACCGGTACCGCTTGCAGTGCGGAAGCAGAGAGAATAGTCTATGGCTTGGGTGGTTGGAGTATTTAATGATCTTCCGGGACTACCTACCACACCGCCTGATATACATGTCCTGGGTGGCAGGGAACTCGGCCCAAGTGATGTACTGGGCTGTCTGCACCAACCTCTGTAGCGCCATGCGATCGAGGGCGGTGCCATTGCCATACCAGGCAGTGAGATGCAGCCAGTCAAAATGCTCTCAACGGTACAGCTGTAGAACTTTGAGGATTTGAGGGCCCATGCCAAACTTTTTCAACCTCCTGAGGGGGAAGAGGCGCTGTTGCGCCTTAACAACTGTGCGTTTGGACCATTTTAATACACAATGAGTAAAGATAACTTGGCTATATACACAGGGTACAAGTATCGAGTCAATGTGCAGGGATACGAGGTAATTGAGGTACTGTAGATATGTTTGGGGCAAATACAATACATTTCTGAGTACCAATCTCCATTTTTTTCAAGCATAGTGGCAGCTGCATCATGTTATGGGTATGCTTGAAATCATTAAGGTCTGAGGAGTTTTTCCAGGATAAAAAATAAACAGAATGGAGCTAAACACAGGCAAAATCCTAGAGGAAAACCTGGTTCAGTCTGCTTTCCACTAGACCCTGGGAGATGAATTCACCTTTCAGCAGGACTATAACCTAATACACAAGGCCAAATATACACTGGCGTTGCTTACAAAGAAGATAGTGAATGTTCCCTAGTGGCCAAGTTACAGTTTTGAATTAAAACTACTTGAAAATCTATGGCAAGACCTGAAAATGGTTGTCTAGCAATGATCAACAACCAGTTTGACAGTGCTTGAAGAATTTTGAAAATAATAAAAATGGGCAGATGTGCCAAATCTGCTTCTACAAAGTACTGACTCAGGGTTGTGAATACTTAAATAAATAAAATGAGATATTTCTGTATTTCATTTAAGAAATGTGCTAAAATGTTCTAAAAACATGTTTTCACTTTGTGATTATGGGGTATCAGCAATTTGTAAGTCGCTCTGGATAAGAGCGTCTGCTAAATGCCTTAAATGTAAATGTATTGTGTGTAGATGGGTGAGAGAAAAAATATATTGAATCCATTTTGAATTCAGGTTGTAACAACAAAATGTGGAACAAGTCATGGGGTATGAATACTTTCTGAAGGCACTGTAAGTGACTAGGCAACAGGATAGATCATAAACAGTAGCAGAGTTAGTGCAAAAATAGTTACCAATAGCCCCCCGGACTAACTATTTAGCAGTCTTACGGCTTGGGGGTAGAAGCTGTTCAGGGTCCTGTTGGGTCCAGACTTGTTGCATCGGTACCGCTTTCCATGCGGTAGCGGAGAGAACAGTTTATAACTTAGGTGGCTGGAGTCTTTGACAATTTTTAGGGCCTTCCTCTGACACGCCTGGTATAGAGGTCCTGGATGGAAGGGAGCACGGCACCAATGATTTACTGGGCCATACGTACTACCCTCTGTAGCGCCTTGCGGTCGGATGCCAAGCAGTTGCCATACCAAGCGGTGATGCAGCCAGTCAAGATGCTCTCAATGGTGCAGCTGTATAAACTTTGAGGATCTGAGGGGCCTTGCCTAATCTTTTCAGCCTCCTGAGGGGGAAGAGGCGTTGTTCTGTCTGTGTGTGTATTTTGTGTGCACACTCACAGGGTTTAAGAAACGCATGCTGTATTAGAGAAAGGAAGTACAACAAAATGACAATGAAAGGGATACTGAAGGGGGAAATTAAGAGAATTACCTCAATATAGTTGGTGAGCCAGAAGAAATCTGGGTCTGTATTTTCCACTGTGAAGAGGACGTTCCCTCTGGGAATGATCTTCCCCTCGGGAACCGCTTTGATTCGAATTGGGAGACGGCCATCATACTTCTGATGGAACAGCATCAAAATCTACAATCAACCTCGGTGTGTGTGTGTGTTCATATGAACATCTTACAGTCAGTAGCCTAACAGTTGAGACTGCATCAGTAAAATAGTCTTAGTTGAAAAGCTAAAATAAGAGTGTGTCTAGTCTGATTGAGACAGCCCACTTACCTCCAGCACTTTCCTCCAGCCTTCCTCATCAAACACAGTCTGTCTAAAGTGCATCTGGTAAAATACTTTGGCTTCCTGAATCTTCTCCTCAGTGATGACTCGTCCTGATTAGGGGAGACAATGGGAAAAAGTCATTCAAGAATCTAAAATGAACACAGACACAAACAAACAAACCAAAAACTCACTAGCTCACATTTTGTCAAGCACACAAGCAACATTTCAGCTATCAATGCAAAAATCTCTGTCCCCTCCCACTGACTGCAATTCCCTTTCATTCAGTCAAAATTGAGTGTCAGTGGCTGATCAAGTACCACAGAGAGAGACAGCCAGTGGTGGAGCATGGCTGACTAGCATGGCTGGAGGAGACTCTCTGATTGGATATCAGAGGAGTGAAACCCTAGCCTGGCGGAGGACCTCAGCAGTCAGAAACAAAACCCTCAGTGGTCCGCTCAGGATGACAGGTCACTGTTCACACATTCCACACATGACTGCAGTTGGGGCCAGATACAAACACTGCTGACTGCCATGTCTGGTGACCCTAAAATTAGATGAGTTGATGTTGGTCCTTTTTAAACATACACTACCGATCAAAAGTTTTAGAACACCTACTCATTCAAGGGTTTTTCTTTATTTTTACTATTTTCTACATTGTAGAATAATAGTGAAGACAACTATGAAATAATACATATGGAATCATGCAGTAACCAAAAAAAGTGTTAAACAAATCAAAATATATTTTATATTTGAGATTCTTCAAATAGCCACCCTTCACCTTGAGGACAGCTTTGCACACTCTTGGCATTCTCTCAACCAGCTTCACCTGGAATGCTTTTCCAACAGTCTTGAAGGAGTTCCCACATATGCTGAGCACTTGTTGGCTGCTTTTCCATCACTCTGCGGTCCGACTCATCCCAAACCATGTCAATTTGGTTGAGGTCGGGGGATTGTGGAGGCCAGGTCATCTGATGCAGCATTCCATCACTCTCCTTCTTGGTAAAATAGCCCTTACACAGCCTGTCCTGTTGAAAAACAAATGATAGTCCCACTAAGGCCAAATCAGATGGGATGGCGTATAGCTGCAGAATGCTGTGGTAGCCATGCTGGTTAAGTGTGCCTTGAATTCTAAATAAAATCACAGACAGTGTCACCAGCAAAGCACCCCCACAACCATAACACCTCCTCCTCCATGCTTTACGGTGGGAAATACACATGCAGAGATCATCCGTACACCCACACCGCGTCTCAAAGACACGGCGGTTGGAACCAAAAATCTCCAATTTGGATTGCAGACCAAAGGACAAATTTCCACTGGTCTAAATGTCCATTGCTCGTGTTTCTTGGCCCAAGCAAGTCTCTTCTTATTATGTGTCCTTTAGTAGTGGTATCTTTGCAGCAATTCGACCATGAAGGCCTGATTCACACAGTCTCCTCTTAACAGTTGATGTTGAGATGTGTGTTACTTGAACTCTGTGAAGCATTTATTTGGGCTGCAATTTCTGAGGCTGATAACTCTAATGAACTTATCCTCTGCAGCAGAGGTAACTCTGGGTCTTCCATTCCTGTGGCAGTCCTCATGAGAGCCAGTTTCATCATTGCGCTTGATGGTTTTTGTGACTGCACTTGAAGAAACTTTCAAAGTTCTTGAGATTTTCCGCATTGACTGACCTTTGTGTCTTAAAGTAATGATGTATTGTCATTTCTCTTTACTTATTTGAGCTGTTCTTGCCATAATATGGACTTGGTCTTTTACCAAATAGGGCTATCTTCTGTATACCACCCCTACCTTGTCACAACACAACTGATTGGCTCAAACGCATTTAGAAGGAAAGAAATTCCACAAATTAAAACTTAAGGCACACCTGTTAATTGAAAGGCATTCCAGGTGACTACCTCGTGAAGCTGGTTGAGATAATGCCAAGAGTGTGCAAAGCTGTCATCAAGGCAAAGGGTGGCTATTTGAAGAATCCAAATATAAAATACACTGCTCAAAAAAATAAAGGGAACACTTAAACAACACAATATAACTCCAAGTCAATCACACTTCTGTGAAATCAAACTGTCCACTTAGGAAGCAACACTGTTTGACAATACATTGCACATGCTGTTGTGCAAATGGAATAGACAACAGGTGGAAATTATAGGCAATTAGCAAGACACCCCCAATAAAGGAGTGGTTCTGCAGGTGGTGACCACAGACCACTTCTCAGTTCCTATGCTTCCTGGCTGATGTTTTGGTCACTTTTGAATGCTGGCGGTGCTTTCACTCTAGTGGTAGCATGAGACGGAGTCTACAACCCACACAAGTGGCTCAGGTAGTGCAGCTCATCCAGGATGGCACATCAATGCGAGCTGTGGCAAGAAGGTTTGCTGTGTTTGTCAGCGTAGTGTCCAGAGCATGGAGGCGCTACCAGGAGACAGGCCAGTACATCAGGAGACGTGGAGGAGGCCGTAGGAGGGCAACAACCCAGCAGCAGGACCGCTACCTCCGCCTTTGTGCAAGGAGGAGCAGGAGGAGCACTGCCAGAGCCCTGCAAAATGACCTCCAGCAGGCCACAAATGTGCATGTGTCTGCTCAAACGGTCAGAAACAGACTCCATGAGGGTGGTATGAGGGCCCGACGTCCACAGGTGGGGGTTGTGCTTACAGCCCAACACCGTGCAGGACGTTTGGCATTTGCCAGAGAACACCAAGATTGGCAAATTCGCCACTGGCGCCCTGTGCTCTTCACAGATGAAAGCAGGTTCACACTGAGCACATGTGACAGACGTGACAGAGTCTGGAGACGCCTTGGAGAACGTTCTACTGCCTGCAACATCCTCCAGCATGACCGGTTTGGCGGTGGGTCAGTCATGGTGTGGGGTGGCATTTCTTTGGGGGGCCGCACAGCCCTCCATGTGCTCGCCAGAGGTAGCCTGACTGCCATTAGGTACCGAGATGAGATCCTCAGACCCCTTGTGAGACCATATGCTGGTGCGTTTGGCCCTGGGTTCCTCCTAATGCAAGACAATGCTAGTCCTCATGTGGCTGGAGTGTGTCAGCAGTTCCTGCAAGAGGAAGGCATTGATGCTATGGACTGGCCCGCCCGTTCCCCAGACCTGAATCCAATTGAGCACATCTGGGACATCATGTCTCGCTCCATCCACCAACGCCACGTTGCACCACAGACTGTCCAGGAGTTGGCGGATGCTTTAGTCCAGGTCTGGGAGGAGATCCCTCAGGAGACCATCCGCCACCTCATCGGGAGCATGCCCAGGCATTGTAGGGAGGTCATACAGGCACGTGGAGGCCACACACACTACGGAGTCTCATTTTGACTTGTTTTAAGGACATTACATCAAAGTTGGATCAGCCTGTAGTGCGGTTTTCCAGTTTAATTTTGAGTGTGACTCCAAATCCAGACCTCCATGGGTTGATACATTTGATTTCCATTGATACATTTTGTGTGATTTTGTTGTCAGCACATTCAACTATGTAAAGAAAAAAGTATTTAATAAGATTATTTAATTCATTCAGATCTAGGGTGTGTTATTTTAGTGTTCCCTTTATTTTTTTGAGCAGTGTATATTATGATTTGTTTAACACTTTTTTGGTTACTACATGATTCCATATGTGTTATTTCATAGTTTTGATGTCTTCACTATTATTCTACAATGTAGAAAATAGGACAAATAAAGAAAAACCCTTTAATGAGTAGGTGTTATAAAACTTTTGACCGGTAGTGTACTTTATCTAGGCTTTCATGTTGCATGGATGTGGCCATTTGATTGAATTTGCAAATGTTCCATTGAGGTTGTGTGTATGAAATCTGTGGTTTGTTTTGCAAAGTTCTTCCATAACCTTCACCAAGTGACTTAGTTGTTCATACATGCACATTATGTGACAAAGGACAACACTGGTGGTAAATAGAACATATTACTGTGTGACATACCGCAGAGTCACATCACACAGTGTGGGCTGAGGTGACCTCTAAACACTGACTTGCCTAGAACAGACTAGAATGAGACAAAGAAGAAACTCAAGAATGGAACTCTAAAAGAATGGAGATGAAAGAAGCAAGTGGAAAGTGGACCTACCTGAAAGATACTTTTTCAGGAGGTACTGAAGGCCAAAAAACACGATCTCATTGAACTGGGCGCCCCCCTTCTTGCGGCGGCACTCAAAGTAGGAGTAGACCTTGCTGACATTGGGAGGGTACTGCTTGTAGTGTGTGATCTGTGGAAGAGGAAACATTCAGTTTGAATAGGCTACAACAAGGGAAACGAGGGAGTCAAGAGAAAAGACAAACTATCTGGAATCTAGAGGTCATGTTATTAACTACATAATAAACCAGTAGGTCAGTGAAGAGATGAGGTGTAGGCCTATGATGAGAAAGGTACATTTGACTAATGTCAAAGCTGTGTATTTTAGAGCTTAAGGATGAACCTTAATACACTGGAAGATGTTCTAAGCACTTCTCTTATTCATTTAGAGAACCACCTGTTTTGCATCTTACACATCATTCCAACTGATTAGTGCTCATTAGTGCACATAAAACAGCAATATTCCTGAGTTTTGTTTTATTTTCAAATGGTTCGCACATGAATGTGCCAAGAGGGAAAGTGGAGCTAATGCAAAATAAGCCCTTAAGTTAGGCTAAGTGAAGAGCTTTGTGTGCAACGTGATGCTGTGTACAGTACCATGTCTCTCACTGCCAAACATGAGCTCCAGTGGGTGGGGGTGCTCTCCTCATTCCAGTTCAAAACACAGGTCAGCCTTTGTGAGCAAATTCAATAATTGAGAGCAACTACCCTCCACTTGGAAACGTACAATTTGCACAAACGGGCAGGGGTGAGCAATATCAGAGCCATTTCTTTCCAAGCTGCACTTTCTCCCTTTCCCACACTTTCTCTCCCTCTACTCCTCGCTCACCCTACCTATCCCTCAGAATCTCCTTTCCCCTTGATGCTGATCTAGAAGTCATAAGGCTCTGGCTCATGATCTTAGCAATAACAAATCAGATGTTTTGCAAACATTCCAGCTGATGTGGTGAGTGCCAGTGCATCAGATGTTATTATGTGTCACATGACTGGAATTCTGGGAGCGTCATGTATGGAGGAATGGGAGTCATCGCAACCAGGGACAAATACAGAAAAGAAAACTTGAAAGACACCCCTATTTTGTTCTGTTGCCTTCATCTTCCCATTATGGGTGAGATGGTGTTTTGGAAAGGTTAACAGGTGATGTTAGTTTTCACAGTGAAAACATAAGGGAATCTGGGGCCTCAATCTTCACACAAAAGTAGGACCACAAAGTCAACCAAAAGTAAGCTAAAGCATAAACATGATTATGCAACAACAGAGAGAGTTAATGATGGGAGAGGACAGAGAGAGGATGGCTAACCAGGCTTATCTGGTGGCAAAAGTGTAACTGATACTTAGGCTAGATTGAGATCAATGGTCTATAGCAGTTCTTCTCCAACTCCAGTCCTGAAGTACCCCCTAAACAGCACACATTTTTGTTGTAGCCCTGGACAGAAACATCTGATTCAACTTGTCATGGGCTTGATGATTAGTAGACAAGTAGAATCAGGTGTGCTTGTCTGGTGCCACAACAAAAAGATGTACTGTTGGGGGTACTCGAGGACCGGAGTTGGGAAACACTGGTCTATAGCAGCGTCTCCCAAACTCGGTCCTCGTTTTGTTTTTTGCCCTACCACTACCCAGCTGATTCAATAATCAACTAGTCATCACGCTTTGATTCCTTGAATCAGCAAAAACTATAGGATTATGACGACGGACACTTTTACTGACTAATTAGTTGGGGTCGCTAAATTACAAACTTGCAGTCATCATGCGGACCCTTGCCATTTGGTAGTGATATTTGACATTCATTCAGCAGGGCTATTGCGCTCTGGTAAAGTTTGGCTGTAATGCACTCAGAGGTAGTTACCTAGCTAGGCTTGAGGAAAGGTTGTACAAATGTAGGTATGCCCCCCCAAAAAGTTATACTCTGTAGACAAAATTAGCACCAAACTAGCTTTTAGCAAGCTAGGGCTAGCAAAACACCATATAACCTAGTTAGCATTAGCTGGCAGCTGTTGTTGATTCAACATAGATTGCTAGCTGGCCAGGCTACGTTTTGACCTCTATTGGTCATTTATTTTTCAGGCGTCAAATTGCTAGCTAGTAACCTAACTAGCTACTCAGAGTAGGAGTATTTTAATGAGACATAACGATTGAGGGCGGCACACCAGCCATGCTACTTACTTTGCTATGTTTCGTTTATGTAGCTAGGTTCGTGGCCTCCTGTATATAATATAACGTTAGTTTCTTACTAGTTAGTTCTTGAAATAAGGTCCGCTCCAGTGAATGTCGGCTACATTGTGGCAGAAACCTAGCAAGGCGTACTTCCACAACATTTCGTCAACGTCAAACAGAGGAAAAATAGAACTGATGCAAATGTTAAAAGGTTGCCAGCTTCAACTTGCGACACTTATCGTATAGGTATGATAATGCTACTGCTGAAATTAGGTAACTACTACTAGTTAGCGAGTTAGGTTAGCGGCGATCATGACACTCACCTTGTATGAATCTGTCGCCAGCAAAATATTAAAATCCTGGGCTGCCATGGTTATGCTTGAATGAGATGAATGTGACTGTGCTCTGCTTCGTCGCTTTTATCTAAATCGAACGCTGACAACTAGGGTGGAGATAGCAGCTACACAAAGGTGCAATACTTTCGTTATTCCTGTGTTACGTCTTTCTAGTAGTGAAATTAGACCGCTGTGACCGCCCAGAGAAGGACAATTCTGTGGTTGTGTCGAGAGGGCGGGTTTGAAAACATGCATGTCAGAAAGCACGTAGTCAATGCTCCGCCTCTGATATTGATATTCTCACGCACGGAAAAGGCGTGGTCACGCTGTTTTACAAGTTTCATTTCAGCACTGCTGGTTATCAATTGACAGAAAGTTTCACTTTCCCGGAAAGCGTTGATTAAAGGGAAATGATGGTGCTAAGTTTCTGATTGTAGGCCTAGTGCAGTGCTTTCCAACTGGGGAAACTTGAGAAGACTCATAGATCATAGGCCTACATGGTAAAATGCATATGAGGGAGTACTTTTAAGGATACTCCGGTCAGAGCAAAATTCAGTTGGAGGTACAGTAACCAAAAAAGGTTGGGAACGACTGGCCTAGTGAGTGGCTACCTAGTCAAAAGTCCTGATATTGCCACTAGCACAGGTGGGATTGCAAATGTTTATAAACTATTGCAAAACAAACCGCTTTCCAAACGTGGAAAAGGCTATAAGGACATGCCTGACGCTCAAACCTATATGTGTCCGACAGCCTTGATTCGGTCTTATGTAGCAAAATTTGAAATTGTGTTTTTTACATTGGATAAAAGCAGAGAGACAGAGCTACAAAATGGTATATCATACACTGCGTTTGAGTAACAATGGGAAAGTAATTCTGCTTTTAAAGTTGATCAACTTGTAACTCCACTTTTGATAAAATGGCCCTTGAATGTTTTGGTTCACCTACTGGAGAGCTCTTTTGTCTACACACATTCAGCATTGTTCACACACTCTTAAGCCAGCCCCACCCATCTCTTTAAAGATTCACATGTGCGGTCATGTGCTAAACAGTGAGTAGTGTAGTAAAGATGAAGGGTAAAACTAGTAGCCTACAATAAGGAAAAATTCCAGGTAAAAATATTAGATTACGCTTACCCAGACACACTTGTCTAAATTGATGGGTTATGTGAAAGAAATGCTATAACCCCCAGCCACATTTTGCTAAGTGGATGGGTCTCTACAGAAGGTGTAAATGGTACAGCGAAATGGTTACTTGCATAGTAGCAATATCAAAAATAGTTAGTCAATATGAGAAAAAAAGATGTCAATATCAATAACTATCTCAGTGATACTGGTGATAGATGAGGTAGTTATATGCATACAATCATGGGTAAAGTGGCTGAGCAGCAGGATAAAAAAAAAAATAGTAGCAGCAACATATGGCGTGTGTGTTAGGAGAGAGTCGTGAATATAGGCACTGCAGATAGTGCTGATGACTGGGAACTCGCCCCCAGTGATGAACTGGTCCGTCCGAACCACGCATTAACAAGGGAATCTATATATCTGGAGAGCCTGTTTCTGTCCTGCCCTTGACTTTGGTGCAGGGCATGTGATGCCCATAGCCTCTTCGTTGCAAAATGTGTCTAGCTGTGTCCAGTCCAGGTGGTGCTTGTACATGCAGACCATCTATGGGAGGAAGGATGTCAGTGTTGCGCAGCAGCTGAAAGCTGGTCCCGACTGAGTCCGAACGCTCCTTGGCGACAACAACACCAGGCTCCAGAGCATCGAAGCTGTAAAACAGGAAATAACAAAACAAATTGAGAAGACATTACAACCTTGCATAACATCAATTCACCTCCCAAGTTTAGATAAGAAGAATAACCTCATACAATGCAATGAAAATGATATTCACCTGAAGTGCTGGTACTGCTTGATCTGTGTCAGCGGCATGAAGTACGGAGTCAGGAGTTGTTGCCAGCCATAGCTTTCCACCAGCACTGTACCATCCTCCAGTCCAACCAGCTGTGGGATGTTGACCCGTCACAGTGCTGTCCTGCAATCTCGGACAAAGTGTTCACTCTGATCTTTCTGAAGCGCTGCTTGATGAGGCCGAAGCACCAGTCGGGGGCAAACTTGGTGTGGCCTGTGATCAGGAAGTGAAGGTCCAGACTGTGGTGGAGCTTGTGCCTGGTCTGCCAACAAAAGAACATTAAGATCAATTAAAATTAATTGTCTCACCCCTGTCAGTCTGTCTTTACACAGCTAAGTGAAAGGCATTTGCCTGCTTCCCATATATATACAGTGGCTGCCGAAAGTATTCACCCCCCTTGGCATTTTTCCTATTTTGTTGCCTAACAACCTGGAATTAAAATAGATTTTTGGGGGGTTTGTATCATTTGATTTACACAACATGCCTACCACTTTGAAGATGCAAAATCTTTTTTATTGTGAAACAAAAAAACAGAAAACTTGAGCGTGCATAACTATACACCCCCCCCCCAAGTAAATACCTTGTAGAGCCACCATTTGCAGCAATTACAGCTGCAAGTCTCTTGGGGTATGTCTCTATAAACTTGGCACATCTAGCCACTGGGATTTTTGCCCATTCTTCAAGGCAAAACTGCTCCAGCTCCTTCAAGTTGGATGGGTTCTGCTGGTGTACAGCTATCTTTAAGTCATAC